AAGGAATCATGCCAGATTTTGTTAATTTTATTTATTAAAGGTTTTTTTGTTTTTGTTTTTAGGCAGAGTTTCACTATGTATGCCAGGCTTGCCTTGAACTCACAACAATCCTCTTGTCTCAGCCTTCCAAGTACTGAGAAGACAGGCATACACCGCCTCACCCAGCAGATTTTGTTAATAGATATCATTGAGGGTTTAACTTTTGTCAAGTCTAGTACCACTTAGATATTGTTCTCAGAACTCAGAACTCTGTGCTTAGAATGGTGGTAGGCACATAATAGAAAGTTTAAAAAGTACTTGCTCCTCGTCTGAGGCAGAAAACTTTTGGAGAACAAATTGAAGGCAACACATAACCAAGTGTGAGAATGTATCCTATAAGTTAGATGGTACTCTAATTTAGAGCCCAGTGTCTTGGTTACTTTTCTCTCATTGCTGGAACAAAATACCTGATGCCCCAAATTAAGGAAGGAAAGGTTTATTTCACTTACAGTTTGTAGAAGTTTTAGTCCATACTTGGCAGATTACAAGGCAGAGAGCTACAGCTCATGTCGACAGAAAACAGCAAAGCAACAAAAACAAAAGCCAGGAATGGCCTCAAACACCCTTTTCCTCTCCCTTACGTATGCAAACTATCCACCCCAGGGTGGGTGTAGCTCTCACACCCATAATCAATCAAACTCTAAAAGCCTGGCCCATGGCTGCATGAGGCTTTGGGGGGACACCCAGACACAAACCATAACACCCAGGAAACATCTAAGAGAGCTGAGGTTAACTTCTCCATTTCTTCCTACATCTGAGAGGGTCAGAGGAAGAGGTCATGGCTGTGAGTTTATTACTAATGTGAGTTGTTTTGAAATGCTTTTCTGTGAAAACATTAGCTGTGCATAGGTACAATGACAGGCATCTGGAGGAGCACTGGATTGGGAATGTTGATGCCTGAATTATATTTCTAACCACATAATTCATGAAGTCAAGGAATGAAATGATGTATACCCATTACATACAATCCTTCCTCTGGCCCCTTCATTTTTACCCAAGTATCATATTACTATCACCAGGCAAATTCCCTAGTGACTCCTCTAATATTTAATTTGTCCCAAGATATGACACACAGTGAAAGAGGACATTGAAGTTTTTGGAGTGAAGAACATTTAGAGTTGATATGTTTCCTTTCAGGTTCAAGGACCACCTCTTTCAGTATTTTTTTATTAGTGCATGTTTGTAGCACATTATGTTTGCACTCATCTTAGGGAATAAGTACATGTACTTAACATATCTTCACTCTTTTTATTTCCCTTCTCCTGTCTTTGCTCCCCCCTCCCTCTGTCACTGGATCCCCTTCCCATTTTCAAAGAACATATCTCTCCTAGAACTCTTTTTGCTTTGGAGATTTTAGAACTTATTTCAGTTGCAGACAGCCCTGGTCTAATGAGGTCTCTCTCAAACCCAGATTTAGGCCCTTGTCACACACTCTCACAGCACTGTGTACTCCCTTAACATCATGTCTTATTCACATTGTGTGTTTACTTTCTCCGTTAAGGGAAATAAGGCAATTAAACTTAATAACAGCAGAGAATCCTTGTTTGTCTTTCCCTCCTCCCACTGTATCTTCAGTGGCAAGCACAATGCCTAGCACCTAGCAATTACCCAATAAAATTATTAAATGAATGACTGAAAGGAGAGAAGCACTTTATAGGTAGAGGGGACATAAAACGCCAAAAATAAAGAGGTGAGAAACTGAAGAATGCATGACTGTATATGGGTAACTGTGCAGCTTAAGTATTGAATATGTGAGGGAAATAGTGGGAAAGATAGGATGAGGCAGTGCTGGGGTTTCAAACAGCAGGCTCAAGTCCAAACTTTAAAAGAGGTAGGAAGCCAGTAAAGATTACAGCTAAAGCAGTGAGGGAAATTACCATTGTATTTGATAGAATTTATTCACGCCATGGGCAGCTTCCTCTGCCCCTCCCTAATATACTTCCTGCCAAGAAATGGATAAAAATCTGCAAAGAATTTTATGTGCTATACACCCAGTAAACTCACTCAGCTACAAATTTATTTGGCTGAAGTTTAGTGGTCTACAGAGAGCCAATATAGCTAGAAAACTGTCTTTAGCCATGAACCTTTTACATTATCAACTGAGTCTCTGGTACACGGTAACAGTTTTAACTTTCCCTGACTTTGCCTGAGGGTCAGCAGGAAATCATAAAAGATCTTTTACCCTCCTTCATTACTTTCTCTTCCTTACTTTCCCTCCACCTATATATCCTTGCCTTTCACTCATTTGTTGAAAATCTACCTTACTCTACACCTCCTAAGTTAATTTCTATTGTTCCCTCCCAGTGAGAAATCCTTTGTAGTAGTCTTTCTGGTTTCCAAGATGTTCCTTTCCTGAACTTGTACTAGATGGGATTCATTGATCACAAGTGAGGAAGTCAATGGGTAAGATTCTTGGCAGACCAGACCAAACTGTCACATTTTTTTGTCTGCATCTATTTTTATATACTTCCTTGGGGACTTGCAAGAAATGAATGACATAGTGCAAAGATATCAAGGGACATATCTTCAGTGACTGAGTGTGGAAAACTTGTCCCAAATCTTAGAAGAATATAACATTTATTTCTTTTTTGATTCCTTCTAATTTCTACTTCCATTTTCCTCTTGTTTCCACTGTACTCTGCTTTTTTCCCCCTCTCTCCTTCTACTCTCATCTTTCATTACCACTTACCTTGCTAGTAATGACTGCCTTATATTCAGTTCTTATAGGATTAGCCCTGTGTCACTGCTTCTTATGTATTACCTCATAGCACTGTGTAAGCTAAATAATCATAACTCTATCCAGTCTGTAGATGAGGGAAGTAAAACAGACTGAATACTTTATACAAGCTCAATAGACAGTAGCAGGGATTTGAACTCCAGTTATCTAATTTCCATGTCCATCTTCTTTAAATCATTACATGGCTTCTTTTACTCCATTTTTAATTTCCTTGTGTCATTCCCTTTTCTGATCCTCTTCTGTCCCTATACTACCTCATTTCTTTTCTTTCTCTTAGACACTTAACATAGTCGGTCACTGCAGGTCTGGGCTGAACCTGAAAGTGCTGAGCAGTGCACATAATGCTCAGAAGAGATGACAGAACATTCAGATTCTTATCAACCATTTTCCTTAAGATCAAATAATCCACAATTTTTCACATTTGGAGGCTAAAGGAGGGGATTCTCATCACCTTTAGTAAAGGAGAAGGTGTTTAATAACAAACTAGAGGAAAGGCCTGAAGACTTGGATGGCTTTTTGATTTGGAAAGGAGCAGAGATAAAACATTTTCTCCTCCCTCAGGGAATCCTTCATTCCCAAGGACTCTGCATACTGTCAAGTTTGGGGACCTAGAGGCTGGAAAAGGTCAGATGAGAAGGCTGCCTTCTGTCAAAGAGTTAATTTAGGAGCCTAGGAAGCCTGGACTATGAAATGTAGCAACCCCACCCTTTCTTTCCCTATTAGCATAACCAATGTCCCAATAAGAACAAGGGCATGTTGGTAGCACACATATGAAGGTCAAAACTTGAACTTGACAATTTTTAAGGTCCCATCCAAATATGATGTTTTATTATTTTAAGAACAGAGAAAAAAAGAAGAGAATATTTATGTTCAGTTCTCTCCTTTTTGTCATCCTATTGGTTAGAATTGGTTAGAGGTTTTAAACCATAAAGACATACATTGTTCATCAAATAAGAATTTTGGAGGTAGAAGTTTCAAGAGTGGATTCAGAGGTCTCAGAGGAATGGTCAGCATTTCCGAGATTCTCTGGGCAGCTTCAGACATCTTGGCTTATACAATCCTGTGCACAGGCAGGAAGCAGTGGGAGAAAGGAAGACCATGAGTGAGGCTCCCTGCTTCCTGGGAGATGGGGACTTTTGATAGGTCACTTCTTAACCTTTAGATTCCTCCCATACCTCATCGACCCAAACTAAGTGCATTAGAGACCAGAGAAAGTGCTATTTAACCTTTTCACTCTGCTAATGGGAGGCAGACAATACCAGGGAATTGGTTTCCCACTGTGTAGGAAATATCAGTGTTTCTTTTTCTTTATTTTAAAGAGAAAAAAAAACCCCAACAATAAAACAATGAAGACAAAAACAAAAAACAGCACAGAAACAACAAAAATGATACAGGACTTCAAAGAAAATGATAGGAATTAACAATGGTTACTCCTCGCTTAATTCTTCCAAGATTTGCTACTCTGGGCTTCTGAAGACAAAGGAAAAGATAGTCTCTTTCTTCAAAAAGTCTGTGCTGGAAGAACATAGACAGGCAGAGGGTTACAAAGCACGGTGGAAGGTGCTGGGAAGAGTGAATGAATGCTCCCAGTGTCAGCTGAAGAGAGAGTAAGGACAGCTACAGAAAACAATGATTAAGTTTGGAAAGGTAAATGGATTTCAGCTAGGAGTGAGAGGGCAGGTGAGAGGTAGTTAGAGGGGCCTTTGGGAATCTGTTAGGACTTGGCATGATTGAACAAAGGGAGCTCTTGAGTTCTTTCTACGGGCAGAAAGTTTAGAAAGCCAAACTGCATGTTTGGAATGGCTATGTTGCACTGAAGCAGGAAGATCAATTAGGGGAAACCAACTCATCTGTGACGCCTTTACAGTGCAGAAGCATGCTTTTGTTTACCACCTTTCAACACAGCTGGTCCATGTTGGATATTTCTGATCATGACACAGTGCTTCCTCAAAAGCCAAATTTGACACTCCCATCTTCACCCCTTTGTCTTCCGCCTAGTTATACACCACAGCGGCATTTCATTTTTTCACCCAAAAGTTCAAATATTATGGAACACTTGTGATACAGCTTTCAGTATATCACCTACTTCATCTCTGTCAAGTCTCTAAAACCTCTGGTGTAGGTATTCCTTCCCATATCCACTTGACAGATGAGGAGACAATGAAGCATATGCTCAGAGCTACATTTGCAGAGTCCAATCCTGCATTTCTTTCCACTACTCCAGTGTTTCTCCAACAGCAGTTCCTGGACTGTCTGCACCAGAAGCACCTGGACTGCCTGCTGCAAAATCCAGATTCTTGGAGGCTGCCCCACCCTGGAGTAGAATTCCAAGGTAAAACTGTAGAATCCCCATTATAACATACCACAGTAGGGTTCTAGATCCGTTAGTGTGGAAGTTATACTCGAACTTGGCTTCAAATCCCCTTTTTAAATTTTTTCGGGGAGGGAAGAGGTGTGTAAGAGAAGCCTTTTGAGTGCATTTGACTTCTAAATTGCATTTTTAAAAACAACCTATTGGTATGGATTAATGTCCACAGCATAACGGGACTTTCCAGACCTCTGGAGAAACCCCTCTTTCTCTTTCCCCTATTTGCAGAAGTCTTGGGGTCAGTTCCCTGCCTGTGCCAAGATGAGTGACTGGAGCTTCCTGGGAGCATTCCTGGAGGAGGTACACAAGCACTCCACCGTTATCGGCAAGGTCTGGCTCACTGTACTGTTCATATTTCGCATGCTCGTGCTGGGCACAGCTGCCGAATCTTCCTGGGGAGATGAGCAGGCTGATTTCCAGTGTGATACCATTCAGCCTGGTTGCGAGAATGTTTGCTATGATCAAGCCTTCCCCATATCCCACATTCGCTTCTGGGTGCTGCAGATCATCTTCGTCTCCACGCCATCTCTGGTGTACATGGGCCACGCCATGCACACTGTGCGCATGCAGGAAAAGCGGAAGCTACGAGAAGCGGAGCGAGCCAAAGAGATCCGCCGCTCTGGATCTCCTTACGAATATCAGGTGGCTGAGAAATCAGAGTTGTCCTGCTGGGAGGAAATGAATGGAAAGATCGTCCTCCAGGGCAATCTGCTCAACACCTATGTCTGCACCATCTTGATCCGCACCGCTATGGAAGTGGCCTTTATTGTGGGCCAGTACTTCCTCTATGGAATCTTCCTAAATACGCTGCACGTCTGCCGCAGAAGTCCCTGCCCCCACCCCGTCAACTGTTACGTATCCCGGCCCACAGAGAAGAATGTTTTCATTGTCTTTATGCTGGCTGTGGCCGGACTGTCTCTCTTCCTCAGCCTGGCTGAACTCTTTCACCTGGGTTGGAAGATCAGACAGCGATTTGTCAAGAGGAGGCAGGGCATGGCTGAATGCCAACTTCCTGGCCCATCTGCAGGCGTAATTCAGAGCTGTACACCTCCCCCCGACTTCACTCAGTGCCTGGAGAATGGCCCTGGGGGAAAGTTCTTTAGTCCCTTCAGTAACAATACGGTCTCTCAGCAGAACACAGACAACCTGGCCAATGAGCAAGCGAGAGGCCAAGAGCGGATTCCTGGAGAGGGTTTCATCCATATCCATTATGGTGAGAAGCCTGACGTGCCCAATGGAGTCTCATCAGGTCACCGCCTTCCCCACGGCTACAATAATGAAAACCGCCGTCTTAGCAAGACCAGCAGCAGGGCCAGGTCAGATGACCTATCAGTGTGAACCTCCAACTGGGAGAAACAGAGCCAGGTGGGGAGAAAGGAGGCTCAGAGAGAGAAGATAATTCCTTCTGACCCCGTATTCTCATTCTCACCGCTGCTCTGCTCCTTTTGGGCTGTGAGTCTCATTTGCATTGCTCATTAATCCTGGAAGGTATATCCAGGGTTCTGGAGAGTTTAGTCATAATGGCTTCCCAGCAGGCTGTCTTCTCCACCTCATCTTCTACCAGTATACTCAGTGAAAGCTTTCAGATTATGCACTGAACAGGGTAGGAGAAGGGAGGGGAACTGTGACAAAATCAGGCCAGAGGATAGTCGTAATCATAAAATACCAGCAACATACCTGATAAGTTCTTAAGTTCCTGTGACTTTCTTGACTTCATCACCGCCCATCCCCAGAAAGAACTCAAAATTCTCAGCCAATAGAGGACACCAGTCAAAGAACTTGATTACCTGTGCTCTTGAATCTATTGTTTTCTTTGTTGAGCCATATCTTGTGGTGGTGGTGAGGTGGCCCGTGGCTGCTTGGCTACACTACCCTTCTCTCTACCCTGCCTTAAAAGGGAATCCTTGGAACTTGACTAGCCTCAGTTTTACAAGTGCCTTGGCGTGTATCCCAAGCAAATGTCCCACCTTGGTGATGCTGCAGCCTTTCCTTCTGCCAAGGTATATACCCACCCCATGAGGGTGCGAGCTTCTCCAAAGAGTCACTGTATGCACAAACTGCACTGGAATTTCTGCCACCACCTCTCATGCTGGGCTTCCTGAGCTGTGTCTTACAGTTCATGCCAATGACAGAAGCCATCCTTGTATTTCTTCCCTTGGTCGTTCATCCAGTGTTCATCTGAAGACCATCTTATTAATAGGAATGCCCAAAAAAATCACTGCCCCCCTCTCAGATCCTGAATGGATCACTAGCCACTGAAAGCAGTAGGCTTTACATTGTCTTCTCAGATGCCCCTTAGGGGAGAAAAGACACTGGAATATTTTCTCCTATTTCTCTTATTGACTGCCAACTTTTAGAATATCAAGAGGAGGTATGATGGCAGCTATTGAGGTTCTCAGATCTCTCTCTCCTTGGAGGCATCAGCAGGGACAGGGAAGCAGTAGGGGAATCTTATCAAGACCCTACTTAAAGTCACAGAGACTCCTACAGCTCCCAGATTCCCTTAACGAGACTGCCCAGTAGAGGCTGCAGAAAAGCCTTGCCTTCCCATGGACTGGCTCAGTGTCTGTACTGGGAGGATCCATAATGGGATGAGTGACTGCCATTGTGAATGCAGGCAAAGGGTGCTAGGCATTGGATATTGAGAGTATTGAGACATTATTACATTTAAAAGATGTGTATGTGTGTGTGTGTGTTTGTGTGTGTGTGTGTGTGTTGGTGATGGGAAGGGGAGTCCCAAAATAAGAAAAAGAGGCTGTAGAGAACCTATGTCTTCCAGTTGTTTGGCAGAGGGCCCAAGCCTCATTATCTTAGTGTTATTAGCCTGAACAAATGGGCATGAGAGGTTGGGGCAGAGGAGGGTAAAGTTCAGCAGAAGACTCACTTCCTCCCTGACCTGCTTATTTCTGGGCCACTCTGTAGCTATTTGGATGGTATTGGCAGGTTGAAAGCAGGATTTGAGAGAAGAGATGGGAAAAAAACTGGCTGAGATACCATTTAGGAAAGAATGGTCATCCCAGGTCCCTGGAGGGAACACATTTACTATCTGGCACTGGCATTGTCATTCTCTCTTCTTCCATCTCTAAAATGTGTTTTGTGAAATGATTATTTTTTAATTCAAAATTCTATGATATCAGTCCTTGATGGAAAGGTTTTCAGGAAGGAAAAATATTAAAGAATTCGTGTACTCTGTCTTAATAAAATCTGTCTCCATATTTGTCTCTCTGTTGTGTGATTTTCATATTTTGACTATAAGAGAAGCATGGCAGACGTGATGGGGGAGTGTGGAGCTTTGGAATCATTCATACAGGTGTTAAAATCCTTGATGTTGATTTATGTCTTCAGCAAGCTATTTAATATTTGAGACTCTGTTTTCTCATCTGTAATTTGGGCCTAGTAGAATCTAGAACATAGAATTATTTTGGTTTTTTTTTTTGTGTGTGTGTCACATTTTTTTGACAGACAGACAACCATTTACAAAATAGCAAAAGAACAATACAAACAATACAGAGTTACAAGCAAAGTGGTAGGAAATTAACAATGCTTGTTGTATTACATATTGATATCTTCAAAGTGGTTTCTCATGAAAACAAATAGATACATGCAATATTGATAAATCAAGGACTCATTAACTCTTTCAGCAAGGAAATAGAAGACAGTAGATCAACTATTAGAACACAGAATTGTTAAATGACAGATTGTTTATAATGGATTCAAGTTGGGTATGGTAGTGCACATCTGTAATTCTAGCAATCAGAAGGCTAAGACAGGAGGATCATCAAGGCCAGCCTGGGCTACATAGTGAGAATCTGCCTTCAAAAGCCTGAAAAAAAGTAGAAGAGTGCTTGGGTTATAATAGTCCATCAATAAATGGCAATTGTTATTATCTTTATTGTTTTTGCTATTACTTTGAATGCACAGTATTTGAAAACCTGGGATGTTGAGGGATAACTCCACAACTTCCCCTTCTGAAACTCACAGTTTGATTCACCAAAAGTAATCAAATTAACACACATAAAAGGAAACAATTAAAATAGAATTAAATGGAAATTCATTTATCAATTATTGGAACTATATGGCTCCAGGAAGTGACAGAAATAGAAAAGGAAAGGCCTGACTTGGACCTTAATGTGTGTCTAACACTTTAAAAAGGATGACTCTGTGAAACAGGTCTTTTGTCCTTGTTTTATAGACATGGGAAGTTGAGGTCCATGGAGGCTCTCTGACAGTGGAGCAGCTTCTTACCAGCCTCTCTGATCGGAATCACATCTCTTTGAAAGAGGAGAAATGATTCTCGCTCCAAGCAACGGCCAAGAAACAACCTAGCCCTTTATTAATAAATAGGAGCCAATTTTAAAAGAAAGAAACACAGGCTTAAAAAAAATAAATAGAAGTGTTTAGCAGGGCAGAAAAGCTCTGTTGAAGAGGTCTTGCATCTTATGGCACCTGTGGTGAGATTCGGATGTACACCTGGCATCTGTTTAAAAGTAAGGTGCTCGGCCCAGAGGCTCCTGAGTAGTTCAACTGTAAAAAAGATAGGTTTTCATTTTTTTCTCCTAAAAAATGTGTTCAGGGTATCTCCTAGTTTTATAAACATAGCTACACCATTTAATAGTTTATACTGTACTATGCTCAGACTGCAAAAGCCAAAGAGACTTAATTTATAGTAAGATTTCAACTTTGTGCATTTCTACTCTCATTTTCTCTACCCCCCACATGTTCATCACTAAACACCATAAGCTTGTTGATAATACAATGAATACACTCTGAATTTCAGGCCCCATCAGGCTTCTAGTCTTCATTTCTTTCCTCTAGTCCTAGATAACGACAGAATTCCTGCCACTAGTGTTTTATGCCAATGACTAAAGAGTTTTAAGTGGTTAAATGCTAAGAAAATGCCTATGAAGAATGAATTTTGGATGTCTTCCTCTAGCATCAAGTTTTAGTAGCAGAAAGACAAAGGGGCACTAGGCACCATGCTGGTGTTTAAAGGACTGTTTTCGTGATGTGTAAGTGAGGAAGATGGTGAGGCTTGAAGAGGCTCTCAGAAATAATCCAGCACCTCTCAGGAGAACCTGGGAGATCCCAGAAGTCCCCTGAGTCAGTCTGTGTACTGACCCCTGGCAATTAAAAGAATTTTCAAATGATAAATAAATAGAACAGGGTTAGTGTTTTTCCCTGTTGTTAGTGAGCTGATTGTCATCAGAGATGGGTAGATTTTTATTGTTAGCTCAACTGAAGGAGAAAATTTTTTATTCAACAAATATTTATTGAACAGCCATTTTGAACTAGGCATCATATTAGGCTTTTGAAACAGAATTTTGTAAGCCAGTCATAGTTCCTGCCTCTTACCGTCTAGTGGGAAGGCCTGCCAATGCAAGTGAACGAGTCCCATAATTACAGGGGAGGGAAGGTCCTTCTGCAAACAGCTTGAGCAAAAAGCCCTTTTTGAGGAGGTAACACTGAAATAGAGCTGACAGATGTGAAGCCAGCCACTGTAAGCAGGGGAAGAATCCAGGCAGGAGAATCCAAATTCCTTTCAGGAAGTTCTGGAATACAGCTGTCCTTTATCTCAGTCTGCCCTAACAGTTTTGAACTGTTGCAAATCCACATGCCTTTTTCTGAAAAGAACTTCAAGCTATAGAAACCTTTTCACTCAAGGAAGCAGGAGGATTTATAAATGTCTGGATTAACACAAGTAAATATCAGACATTAAGTTGGAAAAGGCCCAGCTTGATGTTGCAACTATCATTTCCGCCAGTATGGATTCTTCCAACACACTTCTGTGTTCAGCCCATTTCCTGTGGGAGGTAGGGCTGCTCAAGGACAAAGTTAGTTGGAGACCCAGAAGTGAGTCTGGGCTTGTAGGGAGAAGACTATATCCAAAGGGTCTAGGAAACAGCCAGCAAGGTGCGTCCAGAGTGGCCTTGGCATCAGAAAAGTCAAAGAAACCAGTACACAGAGAGGCAGATAGTAGGGAAGGTGGAGGGGCACATCAGCAGGGAGGCCGGGCCACAGAGCTCTATGAGACACTAGGCAGGCAGGCACACTGGGGAAGCTACCAGTAGGACCAGTCCTTAAAACTTCTGGGCTCAGGAAGAAGACAGATGTAGGCAAAGCCAAGTGGCATTCTAGGAGCTGGGTTGCCAGGCAAGGCACCAGGACAGAGTCTTGCACACAGTTTAAGGGGGGCCCCTAGCAGAATTATAATAAAATGTACATGGATTAAACGATTTCCAGTAATATATGCGATTTTTACAGATGCCTTCAAGGTCTTAAAGCAAAGGAATGATGAATAAGTGAGAGCTCCAACCCCTTCGTCAAGCCACTGTAGCAGGTAGGGAGGTGATTTTTGGCATGGAACCTAGTACTACTGTGCAATCACCTGAAGCTAACACCTATCACCTTCACCTGGACATTGAGAAGGCCGTGGCTTAGAAAAAAGACTCAAGTCCCCTCAGTCCCTTCAACATAGTTGAGTTTTCCATTTCCCTGATTCCAGGCCCTCATAGGCCTGGGCACATTTACTTGCTCACAGATGTGTTCTCAGAGTGAAAGAACCATGCATGAAGCCTTCCAGAAGTGTTCACTACCCTAAGCCCTGCATCCTGGCCAAGGCTGAAATCTGCTCTGCCATCAGCTGCAGTTCAACAAAGAGGGGATTCAGGACAGGGAGAAAAGATATTTTGTGCTTTTCTGGAATTTTTCTTAAAATAGGATAAAATATAACCTGGAGTGGTTTAAGCTTACAAATGTTTGATTTAAAATTTCAGATTCAGAAACCCATATAGAAACCTGTATGGGGTATAGATGCTTGGGAAAAGTCGATTTAAAAAATTCACTCTTTTAATAATAATAATAAAACCAACTCAGAACTGTTGAGTGCTTGCCGTTTCCTAGTACTGGGCTAAGAGATTTTCATGAATTATCATTTCATCCTTACAAGTCTAACTAGGTCATTAACTGTGCTTTATAGATGAGGAAAATGAGACAAGAAAAATCTCGTAACTTAAACAACTAGCAAGTAGTAGGGCCGGCCCTTATCTCTCTACTTACATTATGCCTCTACTAAGTACATGTCATATATTCATAAGTAAAAGAAAAGATTCAAAATTGTATGTACACTTTGATTATGATGTATAAAAATATGTATTTATAAGAACAAAGACTTCCAAGGAACAAACAAAAATGAAAGCAATTGTGCCTGTTTGATAGCTCTCTGGGGATCCTCTGATGCTCTTTGTTTTATAAACTATTTTAATGCTATCATGTTATTTTTTTTTTTTTTTTTTTTGGTTTTTCTCCGGTACCGGGAACCGAACTCACGACCTTGCACTTGCCAGGCAGGCGCTTTTGCCGCTGAGCTAAATCCCCAGCCCCCCATGTTATTTTTAATATTAAAAATTTTAAAATATATTTATATTCGATCTTTGGGCTAAATTTGGTGTCCCCCTGGGGTGGCTGCCAGGAGCTGCCTCTATTTCTGCAGAACTCATGCTTGGGAAAAATTTTCCTTGCTTGGGCTCTGACTGCCACCCTTAAATGGAATCAAGTTAGCAGGAGGCACCCATTTCGGGTCCAAGCTGCTCACTGTGACAGCGAGTGGCCTGCCAGCTGTTTCCTCTGGAAATGGAGAGGAACTGGAGTGAGTGTGGGAGACATGACCTCCCCCTGAGTTACTGCTTAACTTCATTGTGGAGAATGCCCACTCCACAGGAGTGAGACGGGGCAATAGCTGAGAGATACTCCCAGAGAAAGGGATACCCTTCTTTCCCTGCCTCAATTTTTATTTTTATTTTTTATTAAACATGTTTGCAAAACATAATGATTACATTCCCTGTGTGGAGTTCGTACACGCACAGAACACACCTTAATTCTTTATTCATCCCTTTCTCTTCCTTCTCTCCCTCCTCCCTCCCTCCATCTTTTGGTCCCTTTCCATTTGCAAAAGGTCTATCTCCTTATTTCATATTATTTAAATTTTATTTTTCTCTTTATTTACATGTTAGATTTCTCATATATGAGAAATCTTGCAATATTTAAGTGTATGTATCTGATTAATTTCACTTAACAACGTCTCAGGGTGCATCCATTTTCTGACAAGTGACTCAAGTTTATATTTATGGCAAAGTAGTACTCCACTGTGTGTAAATACTACATTTTCTTTATCAGTTCATCCATTGATGGACATATAGAACACATCCAAGAGTTATTT